TGCTGGCTCATGTTCAGCCAGCTGTCAATCACCATCCCCGGGTCCCCACTCCCAGCTCCACCATTCATTTCCCCACATTTGCCTTGGCCAGTTTCCACGTTGCACAAACTCTCTGATCATTTTCTGATATCATACCTCAGGCACTTCCCTAGGTCCTTCTAGTTGGTGTGCTAAGGACAGGCTTGGGGTGGAGAGAGGTTAAAAGCTGTATTTAGCACAGTTTGTGCCTGAAAATAAATAGCTGCAAACTTACTGAGGGTGCCCTCGATTTCCTCAGCCAGGTCATCGATAAAGATGTTAAACAAGAGTGGCCCCAGGACTGATCCCTGGGGAACACCACTCGTGACCGGCCACCAACTGGATTTAACTCCATTCACCACAACTCTTTGGGAAGATCCAGCCAGCCAGTTTTTTACCCAGCAAAGTATATGCCCATCCAAGCTGTGAGCAGCCAGTTTCTCCAGGAGAATGCTGTGGGAAACAGTGTCAAAGGCTTTACTAAAGTCCAGACAGACAACGTCCACAGCCTTCCCTTCGTCCGCTAAGCAGGTGACCATGTTGTAGAATGAGATCAGGTAAGTCAAGCGGGACCCGCCTTTCACAAAGCCACACGGACTGGGCCTGATCATTTGGTTGTCCTGCATGTACTGTGTGATGGCATTCAGGATGATCTGCTCCATCAGCTTCCCCTGCACTGAAGTCAAACTGAGAGGCCTGTAGTTTTCCCAGATCCTCCTTCCAGACCTTCTTGTAGATGGCTGTCACAACAGCTAACTTCCAATCTGCTGGGGCCTCCCCAGTCAGCCAGAACTGATGAAAAATGATGGCAAGTGGCTTGGTGAGCACCTCCACCAGCTCTCTCAGAACTCTCGGGTGGATCCCATCCAGTCCCACAGACTTGTGCACATCTGTGTGGTGCAGCAGGTTGCTGACCATCTCTTCCTGGATTGTGGAGGGATTATTCTGCTCCTGGTCTCTGTCCCCTTCAGCTCAGGTGGCTGAATTTCCAGAATACAAGTGGTCCTATTACTAAAGACTGAGGCAAAGGCAGCATTAAGCACCTCAGCCTTTCCCTCATCCTCAGTCACCATGTTTCCTCCTTCATCTGACAGAGGACTGGAGGCTCTTCCCAGCCCTTCTTTTGCTGCTAATGTATTTATAGAAAGATTCCTTGTTGCCATTTACAGCAGAGGCCAGATTAATTTCTAGTTGGGCTTTGGACTTTCTAATTTTCTCCCTGCATAGCCTCACAATGGCTCACTGGGGCAGGCCACAGAGCACAGGTCAGAACTTTTTCCCCTCCTCAGAGAAAGAAGTATGCTTTATTTATTAAAAAAAAAGGGGGGTGTGGGGGGGTACCACACAAAACAGTCTATCTATCCATCCACAAATAGCGAAACTTAAGACACTCGAGTACACAAACAACAGCAGAGAGCTCCTCAGTGTGCTATGAAACAAGCCATGTCACCACATGCACGATCTAGTCTTCATTTCCAGTTGATGCAATAACCTCCATAACATAGTCCCAAAGAAGGCATCAGCCCAGGTTTTAGTTAACAAGTGCTCTGCTAGAGCATTCCAACGTCCTACGTGTCTGCTAGTTCTCCTTCAGCACAGTTGTGGCTTTTAATCTTTTACCACAGACAGAGGCAGCCAGGGAAGGGACAGGAGGGAGTATAGCACTGCAAAGCCATTTGTGACCAACAGGCTGTGGAACAGCTGGTTTAGGCACTCTTCTAAATTAGCCATCTACTGCATGGCTGCCATCAGTTATGTAGGATTAGATTTGAATATTAGAAATAGGTTTGCAATGAGAACCACAAAAATACTGGATGCATTGAATTCTGCTTGTCCTCTAGTCCAATTTCCCCCTGCTTGATGCAGGACCATCACCAAAGCCAGATCAGGGCAGTCATAATTTTATCTAGCCACACCTAAAAAAAGCTCCAGTGACAAAAGAGCCCAGAGCCACTCTGAGCAACCTGTCACAGTGCTGCACTTACTCTGTAATTTTTTTTTTTTCCCTTAACAACCTGAACCTCTGAAGCCACAACTTGAGGCCAAAGTCCCTTGTTTTATCATCTGGAATTACCAAAAGGAGTTTGATTCTACTGCTTTTGTTACTATCCCCCAAACAGCTGTAAGTTGCTCTGAGATAGCTCCTTAGCCCTCTTCACCAGGCTAAACAAGCCCAGCTTCCTCCTATTCTCTCTATAACACGTGGTCTGGGTCCCTACCACCTCGGTAGAACCCTCTTCAGTTTCCCTAGATTTATCTAGAACTGGTGAGAGGTTAAAGTTGGCCAAAGGTGAACGCAGCACTCCACATGAAAGGTCACCAGCATCCCATGAAGGGAGACAGTAAGGTCACTTGAGTTGCTGACCATGCTCCTTCCAGGATAGCTCAGAACACAGTCTGCCTCATTTGTAGTGACCACGCGCTGTTGGCCCATGTTCAACCTAATGTCCCCCATAACCACCTGTCCCTCTTCAGCCCAGCTTGCATCAAGGCACAGGGTTATTCTGCTCTCACTGCACAACTTTGCATTTTTCCTAACGACCCACATAAGCTGTCTGCTAAATCAATCCTAAAAAGTTTATTGAGGTCCCTCTGGATTGAGGCTTTGCTGTTTGTCACATTAGTCACTCCCTCAGCTTACTGTCATCCATAAATCCGCTGAAGATGTATCCATCATTCAGGTCTCTGACGAAAACATCCAACAATAACAGCTCCACTATTGACTCCTGGGTATTCCACTTGTTGTTGGTCACCAGAAACATCAAGCCACTGCTAGGCAGCAGTTCCTGTTGCTTATTACATTAAGAATCTGCTCACCGCTACCCAGCACTCTGTTGCACACATCTGCTGCCTTTCATCACACAGTTAACGGCCTGTGCTTTTATGGCATGGAAATACCCTCAGCACAGGCAGATCCCAACCCTATCTGAACCTTCCTAGCCCTACCACAATACAAACAATAAAGTCAGAATTCATCCTGCACCAGAAGAGGTCATTCTGGACATCAGTATTAAAACAATGGCAACAGCTATTACCAATTCTGCAAGGCACGCTCTAGAGTCGCGCACCCTCCTTACCAAGGAGGGATAGTCTATATTGCTTTAAAAACACGTTCAGATACAAGACCACAATATCAACTTGATTATTTAAATTCTTTTACCATAACATGTTTCTCCAGATCAAGCAGCAGGTTTTCTGGGGTTTCTTCTTTGTTCTGCAGCAGATGTTTTAACTCTGCAGTAGTTAGACCCAGTGTTCTGCCTGGATGAGATCCATCTGCTTCCATAAGGCTTGTGTCATCTCCACAACATCCCTGAAACATTTGACAAGTGGGAAGCAAGTACACATAAATACTCATTATACTGCTGGACTGCAAACTCCTTCGAATTCAAGCATATATTAGAGCAAATCTAGCAAAACAAGTAATCTCTTGATTTAAATAACATATTATGCTAAATATTTTATTTTATCATATAAAATACACTTCAATAGGCAAGTTTAGATGCTGCATCAAGATGGATGCAAACCTTTCCATATAAGCTAAGGGTTGTATCACAGAATTTAAAAATGTTTTAGATTCCTTTCTATACTACATATGAATACAGCAACTCTCTTAACAGCATGCCATGAATCTAAAACCTGGACACAATAGCATGTGTCATTATTCACTTCGGAAACCAATGAATTAATATGTTGCTCTTCCTACTGAAAAACCCTTTTATTTACCAAGCAGAGGTTCTGCCCAGCTTTCACAGATTTCACTAACAACTAAAGATGGTACTAACACTACTGATGGAAAAGCCTTACACAGCAATCTGCAGAGTCAACTGCTTTCTGAAATTTCCTGAACATGTCCCACACTGCAGATTTCACAGAAATGCAGCTGAGTTTGTCCAAATATTCAACACATACTTACCAGGGTATCAGAGTTTAGAATCTGTCGCATAAAATCCAAAAAAGAAGAGGCCAGTTCACCTGTGTCTTTGCTAAAACTAGTTATTACTCGTTTTAATACAGTGTACAGAGCACTGCTGTGTTTTCTTAGAGAGCTGTTTTTGTAATGAAAAGAGAGAAAATACTTTGTTAGTGCATACGCTGTGACCATTCCACTGTATCTTGTTATAAAAAAACAACATATATGCAAAATACATCTGGTACATTTTATAATTATAAAGTTGAGTTTTGATTAGGAAGCTGGAGCTTCATTACTTTCTCTGTACTAGACTGTTGTTCTCACCAGTGCTGTCTGCAGGTATTTCAGACTGCACATATACAGCTATACCTACTGCAGCAACACCTCTAAAACCCGCAAGAAATTACGTGTCCATCTTTGGGAGAAAAGGGATATAGGACAACAGAAGTTTTGCTTGCACAAGGGCCTTATGTACAAAGCATGATCACACTTGCTGTTACAATTTCAATGCATCCCATGATGACTAACTGCAGGAACAAACCAGAAAGGTAATCGTCAACCCAGAAACAGCAAGGCCATGCACTGAAGCTAACAGCTACAGACATAGGGGATCACAGAAAGAGCAGCACCTTTAACCTACTTATTTTTCATGAGTAGGTTGTATAGCTTCTTGCAGTCTGAGCCCCACAGCTCTGCAGCACTGCTCAGAAGAGTGTTTCGAACAACCTGTTAGTGACAAGGCTCCAGGCACTACCTCACCTTCAGTGGACAGAAACAGGCCCAAATACAGGACAAGGAATTAAGTGTCAAAACAACATAATACTGTCCAATTCATGTATATATACTGTTCAAAAGGGAGTGGAGTCAACAAAAGTAGTTAAAAAAAATAAAAAAAATAAAAAAATATATATCTATCTCCTTATTTCAAAAGCCCTAACTGCCTGGAGATCAGAACACCCTGGGAAAGTGCAAACTGAATCCCCTAAAAATAGAGGGGATGACAGACAGCTCTCTAACGTCACAGATGAGAGCTTTAACTACTGAGTGATTCAAAAGGGAAGGACGTGAGCACTACATCGCATTCTAATCCTCCAGCCTCGGAGCTGGGAAATGGAGGGTAGACACCTTTGTTCAATGCTTTGTTAATCTCTTGAAAGAAAGTGCTCTTGTGTGCTTACTGCAGAACTGATTCAGAGCTCAAGTGAAAGAGACCAAAATACTGAATAAAACACTGAAGCACCAAAGAAATTAAAGTTCAGGTGCCTTATTCTTAACATTTCCAACTAGATGAGTAGGAAATGATTTCACATTGCAGAAGTTTTTAAATCATTTGACACTGTCAGAGATATCTTAAAATACCATACCTCTTTAAGTGATAGAAGCCATAGTCATGCTCTGTAAGGAACATCATTGTTCGGATACATGTCAGCAGACAATTGTAACTGCTCTCAGAATTAGTTAATGTTTCCATCAGAGAGTCACAAATTAAGGGCATCAGCTCTCTGCCTGGTAAGGAGTTGGAAAGCTGCTCTGATTCAGACATAGAGCCTTCTGACGAGCTTGGTAAAATTAGTGCAATATCCTATAAAAAGGGATTATTATACACATAGTAAAAAATTAATTCTGTATCCCAGCAATAAGTATAAACCATACATTAAGTCAGAAACACCGACAGGTTAATTCACTACCCCTTTATCATCTTATTCCAGTATTTCACAATTAGTACTGACCAATAAAATACTAATCCCGTGTACCTCATTTAAATTCATTCTATTAAGGGTTACAAACCATCATTGATTTTTAAAAACATAAAAGCTTACAAGAGTGAAAAGTGATAGCAGAGCCACAACTAAAAGCTAAACAGTCACTGGATAATATCTTATACTTGCACACAGCTTCTTGCCTAGTAGTCAAACTGCTCCTTAATCTGAAACCACTCATCAAACTAAGGAGGCTGCAGACACCACCTGGGAGGTGTAAGATCTACTGCCCCCTCCACACTTCACACAAAATAAAACAAGACTCACTTCCTCAATTAATTTGCACGGGCAAAGAGCTCTTGTTTATATGCAAATGGCTGGTTCATCTCTACTGACCAACGACACCCAAATGCCTTTTGCATAAATGGGTAAGCACTAAAGCAAATTAATACATGCAATAAAGACAAATAATGTCATGCAAATGAATGCAGCTAACAGGGAACTGCCGGGACTAGTCTATGAATGAGTTTTCAGAGAACATTTCTTACTTTGCTTTAGTAATATGCACTTTTTTTATAATGCTGTAGTTTTATGGTAGCAGCATATCATACATATCTTTGTATTTGGAATACATTTTTAAGAGGTTTCAGTTAAGACAACTAAGAGATGCATATTATTCAACCAGGTGAAAGACAAATAGTGACAACTCAAGTTTTGCCTACAGCCCATGTTCAAAAATATCTTTCACAGGTAGAAAAGACATCCCTCTTTTGAGATGTCAGCTGAGGCGACAGTCAATCTTTGTCTCACTCAGTTCTTGGTGTCTAACGAGCTACCAGAATAGTGCACACAAAGCAAAAGAGATGCCATACACTGAAAGGATTTACATCCAAGAGCAACAAGGCAGCAAGTCTGTCAAAGCAACCGACCACACACATTTTTTTTTTGTGTGTGTTTTAACAATGTTGATTGTTTTTTTCATTTGGAAAAAAACAGAAATAACCTGATTTAATGTCTCCTACAACTACTAACGCTCATTACACATTAAATATAGAAAATACCTGATCACAGAGGGACTGCAAAAGGGAAGTTACATATTCAGCGCTCTGTTGATGAGTGACATTGTCCCCAGCTGATCGCATTAAAGCCAAGAGCTCCTGGAAAACCTCTGCATACTTTTCATCACCTTTACTAGTGCCACTGATAAGATGTAAAATAGCCAATTTACAAGCTTTGTGTGAAGCCAGAGCATCCAATAAAGCAAGCAGTCGAGTGGTCTGTCCAGTGTACTGTTTCTCTTTATCTTCTGTGTTGCTGTAAGGATATAAATGCATTTTGAAAAAGCTGTTTTAAAGTGATATAAAAATCTATAAACACAACCATTACAGGAGTCATATAACTCTGCATTTTTAAAAAAGCACCTAGTTTGCATGCATAAGCTTATAATTTAATTTGCTTTTTAAAAACTGCTCAACTTCACTAAATGACTTCTGGTTGCATAATAAATTAATTAAGCCATTTTGCATTTAACATATTGTAGGGCATCTAATTGTATACAGATAAATATGTTTTTATGCAAACAGTATTTAATTCTATGTGGATAATTATGCTTTTAAATAAACAGTATTCATTATTTCAAAACCCTGTGAAACAGTAGTATTCAATTTCCTCCAGCACACAAACATGTACACGTTTTCCCGTTAGCATGCAAATCACGGTGTAACAAACTTAACTGGCCTACTCTTCTGATTTATATCAGATGGGTCCTTTAGAAGCAGTTCACAGACAAGATAAGGCTTTGTAGGGACAGTTGGAATAAAACCTTCCTAAAATACTTGCCACAAACATACAATGTGAAACTGTCTACATCAAAACTTAAAAGCATGATGATGGTTCCTTGGCAACATTAAGCATTATCAGGAGACACCTGATACAGCACTTGTCTGAGAATTCATTCAGCTCATAATGGATAAGTGATATTTCTGAAAGTATTTGCCTCCTGCTAAAGCTACTGTACAGAACCAAGGTGAACCTAATAGTCCATTAAGGAAATCTTTGTAACAAAAAATAAAGATACCTCTGTAGGTCTTCTACAATCAGATCCAATACAGTCCTCATGATAAGAAGAGCAGTAGGTGAAGCCAAGTCACACAACTGAACACAAATACGCCTCAACATGTGCTGAATGGGCTGGCAAGATGAACCAGAGAAAGATCGAACTATCTCTTGTATCAGTTTGGCTTGAACGTGAAGATGCATACTCCACAGCTTCCTGGTGTTGAGTGCCACCGCAATATCGTGTGGTTCAATTACCTGCAGGAACACAAGAACAGGAAGTTTTTCCTTTCAACTTTTATCAAGAAAGCCGAATTCTACCACAAGGTACAAACAAAGACCAAGTACTAACACTGTCCTCATCAAAAACATGCAGTGCCATTTTCACTGAATGACAGGGCATGACTCCAGCAAACCAGGTACGCCTTCAGGAGCATGGGCTGTCATACACCTTTTAGGCTTACTTATTGAAGATCACAAGTTCAAGATCCATGCCAAAAGAAAGGAGAGGCTTAACATACTGAGAGTTTGGCATTCAGGGTTAAATCCAAAGGCTTCACAGCCAATCATTCAAGTAACAGAATGAGAGTCTAGGTAATTTCCCAGGGGACAAAAGAAAAACATATGACCACTAATTTAAAAAGATTACCCAAATAAGAACAATTTTGTTTCTGATGAAAAAAAAGTATCTTCAAAGAATCTATATGAACACAACTGCTTCACAGAAACTTTAATTCATCCTGTCACAGATCTGTTCTTTCCACAACTACGAAAAGGGTCTAAGGGTTATACATAGTTACAGTTCTTTTAAGAACTAAGTAAATCTAAATTATACCTGAGTCGTCTGCATGGGCAGTGGAAGAGGCAACAATTCTGAAAGTAGTATAAGTCCAGAGAAAAAGCCTTCAGGAATTCTCAAAATTGAAGAGAGAACTTCCTTCAGCATTAAAGACCAAGTATTGTTTGCCAAAGTTTCTTCGGAAATGGTCAGTTTTTCATTTACACCTTGTGTAAAAGTCAGTAAGATATCAACAATGTCATTCTGAATTTTTTGTTCATCGCTATCTAAGCGGCCTGAGAGAGGAATGGAACACAGGAGCATGTGCAAAGAAACAAGTGCTGATGGAACACGCATGTCTTTGAATTCAAAAGATCCACCCCGCAGCAGTTCTGTTAGCATTGTTTTAAGCAGAGTGAGTGTACAGCGGGCCATAGAAATGGTAGTAACTCTGTGAAGCGTGGTGCCCATGTTGACGTGGAGTCGCCAAGGCTGAATAAGTATGCTGTTCAGCTTCTGCAATACCCGAATGAAGGTGTCCATTCCCTCAGAAGAAAAGAGCTGAATAACTGCAAGATTCCATTTAAGGTCTTTCTGTTGACCTGTACGGAAAAGAAATAACATTTCTGTATGTCTAATTCATCCTGGGAGATCACAGTTACACTTGAGACACATTTAAGTAGAAGAATCAGAAAACTAAGATTTCTACGTTAAGCAGTACAAATGTATCAACCATACCTTCCACCAGAGGCGGTGGACATGCAACATGACAAAGAACACGAAGTGCAGTAGGAAGACCAACTCCATCTGGGGTCATCAAACTGTCAATATTCTTAAAAACAAACAAAGAAAAAGAACCTGTATCACAAGGAAGGACTTTACAACAGGTATATCACCAGCTTAGCATTCAAATTCTGTATTTAGTTACTGTAATTTCACAAAATTTACATTCAATTATTCCTCCTTTTGAAAAGCAGTCACAAATACAGCAGAAGCAAAAAAAGGAGGGTCAACGTTCACACTGTGGTTTTATAATAAGCTAAAAGATTTAAATAGTTGGATCTCTGCATCACATAGCTACCTTAGATTTTGTTTCAATAAATATAACTGAAAGCAAGAACTGGCCTAGATCATAAGCTTTAATAAAAATATCTATTTTGGATAATAGCATATATTTTTGAAATCATGTTAGTACATACCTAAGATAAAATACCAAACTACAAAAAGGTCTAAGCTTATAGAGCACAACTAAAAGACAGATGTCTCTGTATTTTACTAACCTGCTTGATATATTCAATGAGATTTGGAATACAATTTATTTCAAATCTAAGATTTTTCAAAGGTTCAAGCCACTTGCTGAGCTCTGGGGAGGAAAAAAAAAAAGACAGAGTTAATCAAGTAATTTGTAAGTGCATTTATGAACATAAAATATGCACAATAAAAATGTACTTAATTTACATAATAAGTACTAAGTCCAGGTGTGAAATCTGTGTGGCATATATTGCAGCTGTAGCCAGATGAAAAGCATCAACAAAAATAAGACTTCAGAACAGACAATACACCTCAGATGCATGGACAAAATTTGGCTCAAGTCAACCTGGATACTCAAATAAACTTATTATTTGTAATTAAACATATTATATAAAAGACACTAATGGTCCCACTGTTAGCTAAAGAAAAAAGCCTTCCAGAGCAAGGACTAAAGCACATTGCCCTTAACGTACACATCAGGTTATTACACACCGAATACAAAACTCATTAAATACCCAAACGGACTCAAACTCTGCACCAGTAACAAATATAATACATGAACATTCTCTCTCTTAGTCCAGAATAACCTGAAAGTCCCAATTTTTTTGAACAAGAGATTAAAAGTTATAAAACCCATTGTTCCTGAAAATATTTAAAAGACTGGGAAGGTGCAAAGGTCAACTGGATAAGAATTGACAACTATTCTTAGACTGATTTCATGATTTGGTTTAATAAACTAGCCCTGCTTCTCATGAAACTGTCTGATGAGCAGGTGAGGGGAGAAGAAATAAAAGCATGTCAAAGGAGGGAACTAAACTAAAATTTTGCAGAATTCTGATTTTTTTTCAGTGCATTTAAGTTTTGCAAGAAATTATTAGTACGTCTACACGAGTCAGTTAAGGAGTGCAGGGCACAACTCTGGACAACAGAGCTTCAACAGTTGTCAGAATAATCCTCAGCAGGCTTTTTTCCCCCATCAGCTCCATTCCAAATTACATGGGCCTCATCTGAGGGCAAACACAAGCCAGGGAACACCTCAAGGCACAGTTTGGAGTTCAAAAGATTTAGTAACAGAGTAACGTGGACTATTCCATGCCAGTTGGCCCAGGTGCCAGAAAACAGTTCCAGAGTTATTTATTATATATACAAACCCTGTAGAGCTACATCACTAAAGGAAACAACAAAAGTAACAGCTCACTGACTAGTTTAGTCCATTTTTACTAAGATTTGCTCTGTTTTCAACACAGAAACAATTTAAAACTTCCTGTAATTACCAAAAATTCATGGTAGTTAATATTACTTTAAAACTAATTTAACTATAAAGAATTTCCTCTTTATCTCTCATTAACAGAAAAAAAACCAAACACATTATCTCAGTGACTCAACTAATCAGATGCAGCTGGGAAAGGGATTTCGTTATATACTTCACCCAATTACCCACATATAAAAGGTTTCTCCTATACAGTCAAACAACTCATCTGATAATGACACATACTGTACCTTGCAATTTGGTGTTGTTTTCGTCAGCCTTACAAAGCTTCAGCAAAGGCGCTGAGTGCTGTTCCAGCATTTGGACGTCACTGGAGGATTGAACCACCAGCAAAACAAGGATGCAGGCATAATTATAAGCAACTGACTTCTTAGACTTTGAGTCTCTGAAATACCAAGAAGGATTTTCTTTAGATCTCAACTAATGCAACTGCACATTAGATTTTCATTCTCTGAGCCCTAAAAATCTACCTACAGAACTTTTACCTTCACCATGGCTTGCCCCATATAAGTATCAACCAAAAAAAACCCAAAACTCAAACCCAAATAAATGTTTTCTGATGCTTTTTGAAACAGAAAGCTTTCTTTTACATTTACTTCACTTTTATTTCAGCATCCACAAAAGATGAGAGCTGAAAGCACTAACTAGTAGCAAACAGATTTTTCCATAACTTTGTCTGTTTTTACAAATCTTCCTTTAAAAGTGTTGCTACTTAAAGTAGTAAAACTGCCTCTCTGGGAAAAAAAAAACAATAACATAAGCACTTACAGAACTGGAGAGTCCCACACCAGAAAAGCATCCAGTGTAATCTCCCCAGTCAAATCTTTTGCTCGTTTCACAGTCAAATGTGATGCTTGAATGAAAACTGCCTACTTATCGATGGGGTTTTTTGGGGTTTTTTTTTTTTGCACACAGACAAAAGTCTGACCTACACCACAACACCCTTGTGAATGACCTACACAGATTCTGGGCAGTAAGTGCTTGATCACAAATGACAGGCCTGATTTTCTATTACGTTCTTCTACTTAAAAGCTGTTTTGTTTTTAAACGCAAAGATCATGATCCAAAAGGAAGAAAAAATATTTTAGATTTACTGAATTATTTATAAAAGATAAATACTTTTTAAATGTAAAAACCTAAAGAATACAAATAATTGCTAAAATTACCCTAAAGCTTCTTTGGAATAGTACTCCATTAAAGTAATAAGACTTTGGAAATTTTTCTCCAAATTGAATACATGAGCCACAGCAGATCTCCCCACAGGGTTAAAGGTTATCAAGTAAAGGTTGTGGAGTGTTCCCAGCAGATCCGAATGGTCAGTCTCCTCGCTGGCTGTGCACCGCTGAAAGTGGCAGAACAACTCTGAAATGCACTGCAAGGTCTGTGTGGAGTGCAGGAGCCACAGGGCAAAAGTATCCTCGTTGGTACCATCTGATTGGAGACCTTCCTCTTGATCTGGATCAGAAAACTGGCAAAGTGCTCTAATCAACAAGTTTGTTGCCTCGTACTCAGAAATGAAGAAAAGAAGGCCCTTCTGTGACTGTGCCAGGAAACGCAATATATCTCGGATAGCCTGAAGTACACCTGGATGTGCACCTGTCACTGGAATAGACAGCAGCAAAGTAATGCATTCCAAGAAATGGTGACTGTGAAGATATCTGGAAAAAAGGTCCAGGAAAAGAATCAGTAATATTACAATCATCTGTCAACAACGCACAATAACATTACATAAAATTACATGCCTCCTAGCTCCAGTACTTATTGTCCTGTGGACTACAAGAAATAATAACTAATTATCAAGTAGTACAAAGTTTTAATCATACAAAACATAAATGCTATAATATTTACAGGAAATAAATCCCTAAACATAAAGTACTGATTGACAAAAAAAAAAAAAAAGGCAAAAAACCCCTCACCTTATCTACAAACAAAACAACACTTCACCTTTTGTTAAATTTGATGTATTTGAATCATCATTTCATCATTAATGGAGCATTTAATGTTTTAAATGTGGTAAGAAACTGATCATTATAGCATACGTAAGAGGTGGTTTGAAGATTGTTTGCATATAGATATTTATATTCAGCCATGACCTACACCACTACTATCTAGGAAACCTGTCAGCATTTAGAGAAATACTTTCTAGACAGAAACTTGCCAACAGAAAAACAACCCATGGGATACTTTACACAGCTGAAGGCAGGCGGGCCTCAAATCCTCTGCCTGTGCTGAGAAACAGTGAACTTCACTGACACAACTTCTAACCAGGGCTGGCTTCTATCTTGCCACCTCAGCATACAGAGGTCTTCCAGACTTGTTTTATCCATATGCAGAGACGTGTTCCAAGACAACAAAGAGAAAACACTCTAGATCTATTACAACATTCCAGTATGCGCCTACCTGTACAGCACCTAGCAAAACTAGTCAGGATCCATGAATGCGACTCAAGTGCTAGCACGGTACCAGCAATAACAAGAGGTTAACTTCCTGTTAGGCGCATGCTAGGTTGGTTAAAAGCAAACAAAATAACAGGTGCATTAACTATGAAACTCTCTCAGACTTTGTAAGCACAATCTAGAATCCAATAAAGTATGAAGTGAAACATCTAGAAAAGTGTTAGTCAACAAGCTTATCCCCTAAAAATATCCCTACCAAGCTGGAGGAAATACCCTCTAGAAAGTGAGCTTGCAACTGCCATACCTAAACAGGACGGGGTAAGGATCATCCCTTTCTGGAGGGCCCGTAATGCGTGCCATGGTTGGGAAAGATTTCACGGGTGGCTGAATCATCGTATGGGGAGCAGTTTCCATCAAATGGAAGATTTCTTCAAGAAGACTAACGAGCTTTTCCATCTCTCCTTCGCTTATATTAGAAGATTCCAAAAGATGATCCATGTCCATAGGAGCCTCTACATCATTCTCATATTCCTGGTTGGTTCTTTCAAGTCCCGCCAAGTCCTGGTCTTGTTCTGGCTCCGTGTGATTAGGAAGAGAAGGAGTGTTCTCTGCTAGCTGATCGACCACCTTTTTAATATCTGACAGAATCTCATAGAAGTGACATTTCTGCAGAATTGCAGAACCAGCAGTAACTACTCGCACAGTCTGGTCTAATAGTATGAGTTCCAGGAGTTTCTGGTAACCACTTTTGTCATCTCCATCTATGCCACCCCTTAGAAACATTTCCATTCCCTCAGTCATACTAATAACACTATCCAAAGCTTTAAAAGCATTAAGTTTAAGGGAGGATGATACATGATCTGCAAACAACAGTTCAAATAACACATTAATAACTCCTGCCTGCAAGAGTGCTGTTATTCCTTGAGTCCCACATTCTGCTAACGATGATACCAGTTTTGTCCCAGCCTTGAGTTGTCGGACATTCAAAGCAATGGGCTGTTTGAGAGCTACCTGAAGGTTTAAAGCTTGCAGGGTCCAGTCCACTAGCTGTGCAATGTAGTCTTGCTTTGTCTCTTTCACCTGCAGATAGCTCAATCCTTTTATTATTAAACTCGGAACTTCTTCTAATGCAGTAACCCACTTTGCACCCCTTTCCTCTTGATATAGTTCCAACAGTTCAGTTAATTTAACTGATGCTTCCACTGCCCCTGAATTTTCTTTTTCTGGGTCTTGGTCCTTTATTTTACTGACTTCATTTTCAAATACAGTCTTGTAAGGGCAGCTGAAGTATAAAAGAGGCCCAAGCTCCCTTTCAAAAGGTTCATAAGTCACTGGAGGCACAGATGCCAGATCCTCAGGAGTATATTCAATGTCAAAGCTTGGATACTTAAATGTTTCACGTTCCAGATCAGCAATTCCATCTTCATCACTTGAAATTTGCTCATATCCATCATCTCCTAAAAAGGAAAAGATTCACTTATGAAATAAAATCAATTATGGATAAACCAGTTCATAACTGCTGAGAATCTGCTCAAAACTAAAAAAAAAAAAAAAAAATATTTAATACAAATATTACTGGTTAGAGAACAATCATACACTAACATACAGAAAGCTTTCTCTCTCCAGATATAAGTGAAAGTCTCAGTGACAGATTTTTTAAAGTAGTAACAGAGACATTTAAAAGAACATATAAAGCAAAAAGTTTAACTAGGGTACACAATACTACAAGAATTTTGTCCAATGTTCTTCCTATGATTGCATCTATCATAAAACTTCGAGCCTGAAATTTTGCACAGGCATGGGTGGGAACTAAGAAATACAAGATGACTATTGACATTATTACATAAACAACTTTATTTGACTTGTAATTAAGAAATAATTTCTTTCACCACTTTCCTGCATTTTTAAACTACACAGATAACAAGATCAAGTGTTCATTGTCACCTATAAAAGCTGTTATCTATTTTCCTCTATTTATAGAAAGTAGCAAGAACATTTACTATAAAGGAATAAATATTCCACAGCACAATACTGTTCTCAAGAGACGTCAGAACCATAAACAAGGCACACAACGGTGCAAAGGGAAAAGATCCAGTTCTCTCCACATCGTCATCATAATGGTAACACCACCAAAATTTCATAAACCTGATTTTTTTTCCTTAACTTTTTACAACTTCACTTACCTTCACCTTCTTCCTCCTCTTCACCTTCTTCTTCATCTTCATCTTCCTCCTCTTCTTCCTCCTCTTCATCAGCAATACTCTCTACTGTATGCCCATCATCGTCATCATCATCTTCCTCCTCATCCTCCTCTTCCTCAACATCCACATCATCTTCATCATCTCCTTCGTCTGGTTGATCTTCCTCCACTTCTCCATCATCAGAATACTGGCTTTCTTGATGAATGGATGTTCGATCAGGAGAAATGGGCTCAAAGTAATCCTCTCTATGGTCCACATCATCTTCTTTTTCCCCAACTACTAAAAATATATACAAAGTTTAAGAAATAAGAGTACTTCTCTTAAATCCAATGCTCAATAATATGCTTTAGAGTCTTGCATTACGTAGAGATATAAAAAAAAGCATCTTGAAAATCTTCAGGTGATCTGACTGAACACAAGCAACAATCACTCAGTTCAGTAAGACTATAAAGAAATGCATAAAGAGTCCTTTGCACTTTTAACCCATATGGAGACCAGAGAATTCTGCAGATGCTGCAGAGGGATGGAGGAGAAGGACAATGAATACCAGAGTCAACAGAACATTTATATAAAATACCAGCAGCATGTTCAAGCAGTGTATTGGTCAACAGTTTATATTCTCAAATCTACCAACTTTTAAATTGATAGAATTTAACAAAGCCAACAGATTTTATTTGCTGGAACGCAAGGGGGTTTATTTCCTGACAAATTGCTTTACTACCCCCTTCACGTAACAGTAAATCCCTCTCCTAAAACTGAACCTGTCCAGCAGGAGTAACAGCAGACAGGAAACCTCACAGAGGGCAGGAACACAAAATTCTGTCTCCACTAAGCAGCGATGTGCAGCAGATAAAACAATCTGTTACAATTCTACCTGACACTGGCATAGGTTCATCCTCATCATCATCAGGAGGAGGAGGGCCTGGAGGTGTCCTTGGTCCCCTAGGTTGTGGTCTTGGAGGGCTGCCATTGAACTGGTCTTCTTTCTCTCCATCAACTATATTTATCATGAAAATAAAAACTTGCATTAATGGAATCACAAGAAGAGAAGCAGGAAATTTTAGTTTTTCAGTGCTGCTTTTGACTAGGGAACACATTCATTTCCCAGCTGTTATTTAATCTGTATTCTGCATCCACAGTACATGAGGCAGTTTTCTGAAGTCACTTTGGATATAAAACAAGAACTACATCAATAAGCAAGCTTATTAACACCACTGACAGTTTTTTAATGTAATACTGGGTTAAAATTAACATGGGTAATTGCCATTTTTGGCTTTGACACTAGCAATACCATAACTCTACCAATAATATCTGACTGGCTTTAAAAAAAAAAGGTTACATTTTAATCAACTGTTTTTTACAGTTTACAACTGCTTTCTACTAAAAAGAGTATTCAAATTTTGCAGTCAGTAGCTGTACCTTCAACAAGACACTTCTAATATTAAATCTAAAATCAAAATTGAAGCAGAAACTTGATTGTGGATTCTGTTGATGGCCATTCTAACACCAATGCAAAGCAAACACTCTTCCATAACGTACTTTACATACAAGTCACAAAATGAAAGTTAATTACAACTATGCAATTTTTTTGTCATTATTTTAATACTATTCTAATATTTTTATATATATTTCAATCATCTAAATTTTAATGAGTTCATGCAAATTAAATTGTATTTTGACCATCCTAATTAGCAACAGATCAAGTAACTCAGCCTCAAAAAAAGCACTAGACAAGAATCTACTTAAAACTATTCAATATACATCTAAAAGAAAATACAAAACTAAAGGACAAAGACATAAAGCTAGAAAAATACAGCCACTGAAATCTAAAATGTGAAAGAATTTTTCAGATGGGATAGCAAAATGTTGATTTAAAAAAACAAACAAACAAACAAACAAACAAACAAACCCTATGTCTTCTCACAAGGCTTACCATGTTTCGGGTTTCTCTTCAAACCAGGCTGTTGCTGGGGAGGTGGTGGCGGAGGTGGGGGTGGAGGAGGCGATTCTCTCTCATGACTTATTACCCTGTCAACTGAGCCATATATTGCCAAAGTCAGACAGTTGTACCACCCTCTTAGAACCAATCCATCCGTGTTGACCTGTTGATTTTTTTTTCAAAAAGAAAAAGCACTTAAAAACAACACCAGACAACTTCAGAAAAGTTATTTCACTTTAATATCACCGTATCAGTATCTGCATAAAAGCGGGAAAGGAGAACCAAACATTAAACTACCTCTTCACCCTACACTTTGAAAACTGAGAAAACTTTAAATATATCAATCACTACAGAAAAAAAAAAACTTCTCTAAAAGAATTAAATTCCTTGCTATATATTGCTTATTCTGCTACACTCTATTAATAAGAAAACATGACCATGGGTCACACAAACACTGACCTGAATGAAATAAGCCCAACAGAACTGAAAAAGGTGTGTTTAACTTAACGCCGCCACAGCGTTCTGATTTATCTTTGCTCATACGTAGTGCATAATTCTGTTGGTAAATTCCATAGAAATCATCAAGCAATCAAATCTTCTACAACTCATATCATTATAGATGCAGACTCTAAAGTAACAAGTATCTGAACTACAGGCAGGTTTTAGAGTAAGATCTTAAACAGTAAATAACAGTAAAAGCTTTACACAGTGTTAATGCACCACATGCAACCACATTTATACCTAAATGACAGATGTGTAGAAAAGAAGAGGAGGTTTAAATAACGTTGCGTTACCTTTGCATTGGGTCTGAAAATAATTGAAGTGTTTTCATCATATTCAAGGCTGTTAAATAAAATATACAAAGTTATTTTTCCATTAATATAAAATTGTGTTTACAGAAATGAAACACAGTAGTACTAAACGAGTCAATAATAAAACACTGAACAAATATATGCTCTTAAAACCGAGTGCAAAATCACTTATTTCTACAAAATACTCTTCATTAATATATATGGGCTCTGTGAGTTTTAAAATAACAGAATCTTTTCTTTTTTTAAACGTGAACCTCTGTCCTCTCACATAGATTGGAAGAAAAGGGTAAAAATACAAACTATCAAAAAACAGTGAAAATACTGAGATACAGATTTTCTATTATGCATTTCCTGCACTAAAAAATTCTCAGGAAGAAAAGGTAGGTAATGAAGTAATGCACTAATTTTGAAAGAACTTACCTCCCCAGCCTATCAAATACAGGGGCACTTGGCTTGCTGACATTGTTGAAAAACAAGTCCAGTTGAAATGCATGTGGGGACGTCTCTCTGGAAACAGAACAACAGTAAAAATTAGATTTGTTGAGCTCCTTAGAGTAAGTAGGGGTAACAAGGGAAAAAAACCTTTAAATTACACTGTTTAAATAATTCTTCAAAATAATTACAAGTTCAGCAGACATATAAATGCATTTTACCTTTTTATATAGGAAGCTCTATTGAGATATACAAGTTTAAGAGAAAAATAAGAGGAAGGTGTTCCTGAATCAAACACTCAGTATCTTTCACTCACCCATAAGCCCTGTTGTCAGGCAAACTCGTGTGAGCTCTCACTCCTGGAGGAATGACACGTACTTCATTTATGTAAACCACGCACGGAAAACGAACCACATCTATGTTGGTACTTTGCTACAAAACAAACAATAAAGAGAGTCTAAGCAATGCAAAATGGAAACAACATAATGTACTCATATTCTTTACTAATCAAATTAAGGTTGCAATCCTAATAATGACAAAATTCAATTATGTAAAATGCTAAAGATGGTTAAATACTGTTAGACAGAAAAGGGGTTTTTTAATGATCTTCGGCACTTTTCATATATTTATCACTTTTTAATAGAAAGTGTTAATGGTTTATTTACATAATTGGTTCCCTTTATTTGTAAGAATCTTCTAAAGCATGACGGGTTTTTTTTTCTAACAGAAGGTGTGTTGGTAAAGGTAAAAATGAACTTAAATTATTAAAGAAAGATTGAGTATATGGTTCCCTTTAAATAAAACATAACAATTTTATAATTAAAGAAAAAAGAAAATGTGTGTTTTAATTTTAAACGTTAGCAAATGCTATATTAGAAATTATAATACTATAAATCTGTTTTACTAGACCAGTAAAAGAATTCCATACAATGCTTATTTCTCCAGTTTTGCAACATCTGAAAACCTTTTGCAAATAACATTTCTGTTTACCACACACAAATAGCAAGTAGAAGGAAATGATATTCTTCAGCACTCCTAAAAGATGTTTGCACAAACTAAGAAGCAATCATGTAGTCACAGTGACTTCCCACGTAGCAGCCACCAAATTAATGCTGAAAGTCTCCTCTCACTAAATTCACTATACTAAGTCTTATTACATTTATACATGATCTCTGTCATATATATGCTTACAAAACAGTAAACATGGATCAACTATATGTCCAACTGTAAGCATATAAATACTTTCTCAAACAGAAGCTCAAAATAATGTTTCTCACTGAATGCTTTTCTAATTGTCTACCAACATAACTAAAAAATGAAAATTAAAAAGCAAATTGGTCTGCAGTCAAAAGTCATATCACAATCAGAAAGCAAAAGAAACCCCAAAATCACCAACATAAGACAAGAAAGTACTAAGATTTTTAGAACACTAATAAACGAAGAAATAGGCTCAAGTAAGTCTTTAAAAAGAATATTTAAGAGTATGCTTTTGAGCACATAGTACTGTCTTTAATATGAAATCTACACATACGTGTAGGAACACATCATCTCACCCTAAGGGCAGACATACTACAAGCAGGACAGTGGAACAAAAGGAACCCCTCTGTGACAGGGAGCACAGCTTTATTCAGAGGCACGGGGTGACTATAGCCTGCGAGGAGTGGCGGTTGTAGGAGCTCTTTGCCTCTGAAAAAGGTGTATGTTGTACGTTGTCACACGTCAGAGTTAGATTTCTGTAGGAGGGGCTGCTGCTGAGGAGGCTCAGTCCCCAGCAGCACTACCCTAAGAAACATTCCCGCTTAAGTGACATGCGATTATGCCCTGACAGCCAGGCATCAACATCATCAGGATGGCAAGTGAATAAAAACCACTTTCCCTCCAAAACATTAAAAAAGGTACATCAGAACTGCTCAACACATGTTAAACTGAATAGCTAAGCTCAATAAATAATTTTATTAGAAATCTCTGCAGTACTTTTCAAGAACAGCAAGTTCCAAGACAAGACTCACAATCCATTAAGCTGAAAAGTTAGTATAACATAAAGAAGGCTTTCCTGCAACATGTGAAGTAATTTTGGTTTTTTTCTTGAAAGAAAATTCAATATGGTTCAAGTTTGGAAAATGTCACTGGCAAGAATGAAAGTGCCGGAAAACATTATACACAACTAAAAACACTGGATAAGAGAACATTCTGTCTGGAGGGGAAGAGTAGTGGCCAGTGCTTCCTAACCAGGGGAACAGCAATGGGTAGTACTTTCTGCCCAATACTGCCTCAAACAGTAGAATTAAAAATATATATGTGTGTGTCTCCCTAATCCTGGCAGACAGAAAGGACTCCAGAATAGCTGCATGACTGTTTTTAAT